TCCTTCCTTCCTTCCTTTCTTCCTTCTTTCCTTCCTTCCTTCCATCCTTCCTTCCTTCCTTCCTTCTCTCTCTCTCTCTTTCTTCCTTGTCCAGCAGGTGTTGAACTCATCAGGTAGCCTATGTTTTTTAGTATTCCTGTGGCTTCTTGGCCCACCCTCTCTTCCCACACCCAAATAAGGGAAGGCTGTGGAATATCAGAGTATAACCGGAAGAACCAAAGTAAACAAATACAAATTTATTATTTTCAAAGCAGAATTCCAAGGAAAGGGGAAAAGCACCACGGTGAGTGGCAAAGTTAACCGGTTTGTTCCCAGCCCCGCCCCTTTGTCTCAAACTTTTCTAGACTTGTGTGCCACCCTTGCCACCTCCCCCTCCCCTGGATCCCTTCCCCAGCTTCCATTGCTTCCATTCCTGAGACCAGTTCTTGCAGCCAGCAAGCAGCAGAGCAGGCTCCCCTCTGGCCTCAATACCGCCCTGGGGACAGCAAGGACATTCAGCAGGTCTCCCCCAAATGCAGCAGCTGTGGGAGGAGATGGAGGCTGGGAGCTGAGCCCTGGCCTTGAGCCTTTCCCTCTCCCACAGCCGGTGGTGTTAAAAGAGTAAGGAGCTGAAGTATTCCTTTGTTCCCAGGGCAAGACTTCGGCAGGGAGGCCTAGAGATAGAGCTGCCCAGCTGAGCAGCTAAGTCGCCACAACCCTAGGGCAGGGCCCCCAGTCTCTCCCCCAGGACTGTTTATCTTAAGGCAGCTTACTTTGCTGGACTAGCTGTCACCCATGTCAAGGGAACTTTAATGAGATTCTTGGCCTGAAACGGTATCAGAGGCTACGAGCCAGCCACTGAGAATATGTGCTCAAGGAATGTTCTAGCATGAAGCTGGACATGGATGGAGCCCAGATCCCAAACACACACCTCAGGCAGCACGGGTATTCCTTAAAATTAACCTGGAGGGAAAAACTTCTTCCAGCACAGGCCTCTGCCTGACCTCAGGGTTTCTCATTACTGTGGCCTGCCAGCCCAGTTCCTGGAGCCCAAGAAACTCAAAACAGGTTTCTCTACAGGGAAATATTTCCAAAGTTTGGGCCTTGAAGGAAACGGGCACTTGAGAGCCTTGATCTCAGCC